TGAACTACTACTAAGTAGTGAGCGGCTCAACGGTCACTACCACGCAAGTGCATCCAACGCAGCCGCCACTATACTATAAATATTTTGAGCAACATGACTGGTCATTTAAAACCGTCCGTTAGCATATAAGGCCTAAGATTTGTTGTGTGCAATGCTTCCGTGTAGAGTCAAAGGGGGAGGGGGGGAATGCATCACATTCAACGCTTTTCGTTCTCAGTGGTTTAATTGCCAATTAGAACCTTTTTAGCTCATTTTCTACTGAATTTGATGGATTGTTTAACGCTGATGTTTAATTAGGTTTCGCCCGTGAAAACGTCTCCCTACATTAAATAATTTAAGAGAAGTCTTCTGTGGAAGGAATTCATTTTACATGTATTAACGTGTAGAATGCCACCGTTCGTTCACCATTGGTGATAGCTAAAAGAGATTATTCATCAATCAGTTTTGTAATGTGTGCAAGTTCGGCTGCCGGTGTTAAATTATCCGGCATGTAGCGAACGGCAAGGAGGAATTGATTTGTTTAACGTTTGGGCGCTCAGATAAGAATAAACAGAATAAGAATCTTCAAGAAACATGGCTGCTAAATATTTGTTGGACGGATGTTCGTGACGTATGGAGAACTATGACTGGGCAGGTTGAACAAGCTCATGGTGGGCATATCCTCGTCAGCCTGATATTTAACCTGAGAAAATCATTCAATGACTTTGGGATAGGTAAATGATTTTCAATAGACGACCAAAGAGAGAATATGTAAAAACAGGGTGAGGTAGAAAAATTTCGGACTTTGAAGGCTTCTAATCAGCGCATCTGCTTTTAAAGCAGAAAAAAAGAGGAAGAGACAAGGAGATAAAGTTTTATGCGTATGATAGTAGGACGAATGATAATGTTCTATCAATAGCCATATATGAGACAAAGATATTGGTCGATGACTGAAGAAGCTACCAGTAAAAGCACGAATGCTGTTTCTTTCGCTTTGTGCCCTAATTCTGCCACTTTTCATCCAATTTCTATGAATGCCTTATAACGAAACTAGTTTCATGAATTTTTTGTTAAGAAGATATACGCCGTAGTTTACGCACCAATTTTTCTTCTTTGATGTATAACACAGTGCCCTGCTTTCCTACTTAGAACACAGCGTCTCTCTTTTGTAGAAGATGGTGAAACATCTCACAGTACAACACTGAGGTACTACAGTTCCATTTCGGATTATGTACCGATCCCCAGACTGGCATATTGATTGCGTATACGAAAATTGGAGTTTTTATTATAACTATGAGTACCCACAAATAAGTGAGTGCAAATTGACGTGCCACAGCAAGTCACTTTACCCTTCCGGGGTCAGGGAGGTCTTACCATATTTGTTCAGAAGCATGAAAAATGAACTGATACATAGGTGGGCCCTGCAGGTAATTGTACTGGTCAAATAGAAAACTAATCATCTCTACGATGCTACAGATTGATTCAAATACATAGCATATCTCTGAGTGACTGATCAGCACCTGCCGCCTTATCTTTAATGTCTCACTCTTTCTATAAACCTTAACGCTATCTATATCTCAGTGAAGCTGTTGACGACAATTAGATGTAAAATTCTCATGCCATTTTGTTACTAACACATGCTGGATGCCGGTTGTTCTTCTCATCGTACTCGCTACAACGACCTCCATATGGGCGATGTTTTTATGCCTTAATTTTCGACAAAAGAGAACTGGTACGCATCTGTAGACATTTTAAAACACTTTTTGGGAAGTGCTTTCTACGCTTTACTAAGTATGTAATCCCTTTGGCTCCATAGAAAGTGCGCTAAAAATTTCATTCCATGACGAATGTGATTTCAGATTCCAATCCTTATGCTCCTTTGAAATCGACATCTCAGTCAACAGCTGAGTCAACACCAAAATCTATCGTCGAGTTTTTTCACTTATTTAATCAAACGCAGACGAGCTCACCAAATCGTGTCACTATCACACCGACAGGAACGTCACGTACGACGACCACTACATCTCGTTTGACGTCAAAGTTACCCAAAAGATCAGATGACGCCTACGTTGATCCTCAAAGTAGGTTTCAACTCCTTTTCTCTACGTCCCTTCAAATAATAAAACATGAGTTGATAAATCCACACATTCTCCTCCATCAAGCATTCTAGGAGGTGACTGAATGCTTATGCGTCCTATACGATGACTTGTACTGGTTTCTGTCCTCCATAGTTCCACAATCTTTTCTTCTATTCCACTTATCGAAAAGAGTGAATAAATGACTTCAGTAGTTGAGAGGATAACCGATCATTTTTATTAGAGGGTCCAATTTATTCTTCTGTCTGCCTACCTTTCCTCGAAATCTTTCGCTTAAACAACCCGATTTCAAATATTATGCTAATCTCAGCGCATCATTCATTCAGTTCGCTGCTATACATCCATCATCCACGAAGGTGTTCAGATCTGCGAGTTCGCTGACACTTGAAAACTTTTTCCTCTTCACGAATGTATTTGAATGCTGGTCGAATAGCTTTTTCCTGGCATCCTGGCACAGCTCTGCTTAAACGTCCTCATGTTTACTTGAGTGAGTTGCAGAATTTTGTAGATCAGAGAGCGGTTTTTCTATTTAAGTTTAATACCCACCTCTAGAGGATAGCACGTGTGGCTAGCCCTGAGAAGGTCGGGTCACCGAATACGCGTGTACTTGGATACTTGGATGGCCCGTCTTCACTGATTGTGGTGCTCTTTTTTCTCCTTCTCCCCATTCCCCAGTACCACACCACGGAATAATGAAGACCATTTATCAATGAGATATGACACCTACTTGCTTGGTACTTGAACGGCCCATCCCCACTGGTTACGCGGGCCCCAGCATAACTGTCGTTTTTTCGGAGTTTTTCTGGTTTAGCCATTGTGTTTGCTTGAAGTCTAGAGGTTAGCTTGGCCATAGTCTGCGCTAGGTCGTCACCACCACAAGCAGTCGCCGCCGTTGTGGATCAGAGGGAAATTTGTTAGCACGCGACTAGTTGGATACCAGGACGGTGCTGGATCCTGGTATTGGTTTACTCTTAGCTAGGCTTCCTGGTGGAAACCCTGGACTCCTTAGCTTAGGGGACTCTGCTGGGAGATGAACTCCTGTTTACATCACACCGCCACACGCAGAAATATCTCCTAGCCACGATGAGGCGGTTACCCGTTGGGAGGGAGCACGCGTGTATTATTGCACAGAGTATCTAACCTTCAGCAGAAAAAAAGAAATTCGATATCTGTGCAATTTTTCATTTGATCGAGCACTTCTTAGCTCATGCCCAATTAGGGATAACAGTCTTTCCACTTCAATTAATGATACGTACTTGTGAACTTCTCTATACATATTGATCGAACAAAATGATATAGTTGTTTCCAGCAGAGAAGTAATGAAAGAACCCACAAATGCAATGCTTTCACTTTTTTCCTCATTTTTCAGTCTCTCCCATGTTTTCGTTCCATATTTTCACCTTCATTCAATTCTTGACGATTGCTTCTTACTATTCTCTTTCGTTTAACTGCAATTTATGCGGTTTATTGATGTGAAATACAACTATTAATTGAGCATCTTGTGAAGTATTTTTAAATTTTGCCTTATCGTTATGGTAATCGACTTCGTTCCAGTCGGTTGTCGTGAAATTTTGCCTTCCGGATCTACAACCAGTGGAACTCCGAGGAAAGATTACGTCGAATCGCAATACTTTCTGAAGCCATCAGAGAATCCAAAAGGTCATCTGGTAACTGCATCAATGAAAAGACCACCTATGGTCGAAGCTACAAGTACACTCATCACCTCCACGAACACCACCACCATCGCCACCCTCAAGCCACCTCCTACTCAGACTGTGAAATGTAGGTACTCGATATTCCATCAAACTGTGTACTCTTCTAGTCATCGAATTTTCCACCAATCGTCTGCTTTAGTTCCATGTCCCAATTTTTTTTTAATGGGACCCTTTTTATACGACCTGAATTCTTTCCCTTGAAGAACCTAGGGAATTCAAAATGAATCGTTTGTAAATAGTATTATTCGTCAGTCGAAATTACAACGTCTTTTGCCATTTATCCTTTTTTATGGAAGAATATTACGTAAAATACAACTTTGGATGCTGAGATATGAGCAAGCGCTACCATGCTCGAACAAGACTACCACCATAGACTACGATTGCGACAGAATGGAACGAATGGCATATGTGCTGAGGTTCGCACAGCTTGTGAAGACGGACCGTCCAAGTATTCAAGTAACCAATATATGAGCAAAACTCGGTATCTCAGTTGCACTTTGTACCCGCGACTGCACTTTCCAGGCTCTCACATGTTATTCCATTGCACCAACCGAGGGCCTTGCTTTGCCTTCCGACTCATTCATCACGATCTCTACTTTGACAGTTCCTCGTTCTTATCCAGTCTATTTTCTTTTTCTTAACCTCAACTTTTTCTGCCTTCCTACGTCCTTTTTTTTTACTTTCCACTTAATTTTCTGTACTGTTTTTTCTCAGACTCACCTTCTGTTCAATATTTTGGACCACGTTAGAGAAACGTAATCGGTACTTTAACCTCTAGTGGTATTGTTATTGTTGCTCTTGTCGTTGTTGTTATTGTTTCTGCCATTGTTGTTGTTGCTGGTAGATTTGTGGTTGTTGCTGTTTTTCTTGGTGTTTTATTTATAGCAATACCTTTTCAGTTAACATGGGGCCGATTTTGGGCAACCTAGGCAACCACCCTGATTTGTTAGAGTGTTCTACACAAGAAACGACGAAAAGTCGTACCAACGTATTTGAATATGCTACAGAAAAAGAGACTTTTAAAGAACAGCTTGGTGACATTCAATTAGTTAAAGCGAAGAGAGGTGAGCCTAATTAACTACATGACTACTCGTTCCTCATTTTTATCAGCAGCCAAATAGAAAAATTTTCTGGAACAGTTGAAAAATTATCGATTATTGCGTGCTTTGGGCCACAGTAAATTACCATAGCAATGTTTGAAAATCTTCAGGACGAAACGTTCAAGAAATTCTGAAAAGACTCCCAATTCGAGAATCGAAAACTAGCGACGAAATTGTTTCTGATTCGGTAGGTGTTGAAGTGGTCGACGTTTTGCGGTAACATCAACAACAGTAATAGTAGAAAACTTCGTTTCTGTTGACACAACCGTCCCAGTTTTCATTCGATTGTTTTTTTACTTGTTTGTAGAGTTTTAAAACAGCAATATTAATTCCGAAGTTATACGGTTTTCCGGACCTGATATCGTTGCTGAATAGTGATGTTCAACATTATCTTCACTAGTAGAACTAAATGGCAAGTGTGGCGCAGTGGTCGGATTCGCTCTGCAATACACACATGGGATTGACCCACGCGCCATTGGCTCACCAAACCTTCCATCCCTTCGGAGTCGGCAAATTGTTACCAGGCTTGTCTGGAAGGATAGCCGCACTAGCTCTATACAACGGTAGGCAACCGCGAGTCACTGTAAAGGCCAGATTCAATCACGTCCAATGATGCGTAATGAAGTCGAATGCATGGCGCATCCCTCAGAGATTGATCTACGCCAAGAGCTTTACCTTTATTTTTATTTTTTAGTAGAACAACTCCAATTCTGCCGTCGAGTGTCTATTGAAAATGACTGAAATCTCAGCCTTAGTAACGTTCACTTTAACAACGACGATGAAATCTGTGTTTCACCGGAAACATTAGTGGCCACAAAGCAACATATTCGTTCCGATATCTGACTACAATCTGTAATAGGCTATTTACCTGCAGAAATGTCAATCACTATTGAACAAATGTCAAGTAACAACTATGTTTCGGCATGAGTAGAAACTTCGGTAATTGGCGGAAACCCAAGTTCTTCTCATTTCGACCACGTTTTTAGTTTTATTCGATCATAATGTGCCTTTAGTAATTTGTTTACGAACATTATAAAGGGGCGCATATAGCGACGGCACATTAAAAAGTGTAAAGCACCACGTCATCGGAAAATAGCGCAGTGGTCGTAAGCGCACTGCAGTGCATATGGGATCAATCCATGTGCTAAAGACTTTTCAATCCTTAAATTTCCGGGGTTGGCAAATTGGTACCAGGCTTGTCTAGGAGGAAAAGGAGCACTGACTGGATACATCGGTTGGCGACCGCTAGTCACTGTACACTGGCCAGATATGGATTTAATCATCTGTAACAAGTGAAATCGAATGTATAATGCATACCTCAGAGGTCGATCAACACTAAGAGCTCTGTCTTATGCTTTTCTATCAATCAATCTATCAAGGATAGCATACCATTGTTGAGAAACTTCTGTTTTGTTTTTTTTTTCCTTCTAGAAGGACAGAGGTTAGTTGCTAAGAGCGTTTTGAGGATTTCGTACTTCACGCAGCAAAAGCAATAGGTGGTAACAAAGAAATGAAAGGGTGGAGTGGGTTTAACAACGCCTATTATTGAAATCACAATGTTGGGTTTTTCTTTACTGCCTGCAAACAAGTTTCCACGGCAGGGTATTATGTGAAATACAACCACAATGTTGTTGAGATAATTGCAAAACAGCGGATCGCAGGTATCTGTGGTGGTGATCTAACCTGCTATTACTTATTACTGAACCTATTGTACTTATTGTGGAGCAGGTGAGATTTCAAGGTTCGGAATAAATCACATTCTAAAGGTGTCATGTCCGCGCTATGCGTCCGGTGGTGTACAGAATGTGGAAGCTCATGTTCAATTTGATGACACGTCAATTAGATACAAGGCTGTACTCTGCGACATGGTGTCAAGTGTTCTGATATAAGTCTGGACTCTAAGTCGTTCTGATCGCCATTCCTTCGCCCAGTTTAGGAACACTCCTGCCCAGATGTTGTCATCGCATTCAGATCAGTGAATTTCTAAAACCTCCGTCGGTTCCAATAGTACCAGAAGTTAGCATAAAGGCGTGTGGAAATCGTTTCAGATGAGTTGGCCGGTTGTTGTTGATGGGGTTGAACCAGGGGTAGCGTTTTTTTTCGTGAAGAAATTTGCTCCCAATTACTGTTATGGTATTTTCCTGGGAATTTTGGTGAAGTAGGAAAACTGCAGCGATTCACAGATGGTTATTTGTACGGACCACCCCAGTAGGTCAAAATGTAGCCGCCCAACGAAACCTTCGCTGCAGGCCATGGATTTGAGTTCGTCGTGAATGAGAACATAGAGAAAATCGAAAAGGGCCTCGTGTCTGCCAATCATGAAAGCACTGAATAATTAATCAGTTACAATGTTAATCGTCAATCGGTACCGGGATTTGCTACATGACGTCCCAAAGACAAAAAACGAATCCTAGACAAAAATTAGCCAGGCTTATACACTTTATGAACAGAAACGTGTTCGACTGGAATTTATCGAGCCGTTACAGAGTCAGGATGACACGTTGCACGGCGTTGCATCTCTGAAGACAGACGATTTAACATCGTTTCTTGCGCGATCATCACAAGAAAGGAGAACTCTGAGAAAATACGCAAAAAACCTTTATAGGAATACACAAGAAATAAAGTAAAACTTGAATAAACTTTGCCACCTTTTTAATCACACTTTTGTTGCAGTCCATTTTGTGAAAATTTTTTGATCAGCATATAAGAGATTATAATTTTTTAACTTTTTATTTACCGCCTGCATATTTCTTCATAAAAGGCAAGATATGAAACCGGAAATTCAGCTAGGTTTCGAGCCCGCGACTCATCTTGTTAGCGCGCATGCGCAATTTATCACAGTTGCCGATTGGTTGGCTTGACTTGTCCTATCTCAACGATACTTTTTCACTGTATCTTTACTTTTCTGTTCATTCTGTTTTTGTCTTTTTTGACTCATTTTCTTTGTCAGATAACTGTTGATAGTGCCGACGGAGGTAAAATCATGGATGAGAGGGGTAAACCAAGGGCCTCGGTTGGTGTGTTGGAGAGTACGTGAGCAATCACGGCTTGGAAGTCCAGCCGGTGCTCCGAGTTTTGGTCATATCTCCATATCGCTATGGTTGTATTACGCAGGATTGTTTTTTTTGGAGGAATATGACTTTAGAGTGCTTCTATGTCAGTTCTCTTAGATTAGTCTTATTCTCTAGAAATGGGTTAGCGTAAGGGGCAGGAAAAAGCTGTGGGCTCTAGAAGTCATCCTTGCTGAGCTAAGTTTCTTGTTAATAATCTTATGTCAGCTCGTCGAGAACAGCTCATGGAAACGCAGTACCTTTCCGATGAGTGCCGAAATTATCTGGAAATTGATCTGTAGATACAACACTACTCAAAGAGTCATTAGTGAATGTTGCCATTACTCCAGTAGGATTACGACAGCTCATAATGGAAATTTCAATGAAAACACTTCGACAGCAGATTAAAGATAACCTGCAATAACAAACAAACTGAGAGAACCATCAATAGAAATCCGCAGCAGGTTCGTAAGAATATTTCGTTTTATCTTTACAACCGGCATTTGGAGATTCTTCTTTCGAACTCCCAATTTTTGGAGATTGAAGAGATTGCGCCGCAATTAAAAGCTGTTTCATTTCTCCTACTCGAAAACAGTGTGCACACTTACCGGATTAGAAAATCATTCTCTCATCAATGATTCCTTTTATCACGCTCAGCAATAACTATGGAAAGAGATGGGCAGAGATAAAGCAAAACCAGCAAACTTGCTGCCAATCAAATCTACGCCCAGCTACTGTTCGCGAAGGATTGAGTCAGCGCAAGCTTACTTTTCTCTTTGACTACCTTATTGTAACGCTGGCAAGAATTTTTTGTCTAGAGTTCTCCTCCACGGAAAGCAGTGCTAAGGCATTCCCATTACACAACTACTAGAAGTCGCTGACCATTATGCTCTTAAGCGGCGTTTACCACTTTGTGGCAAGAATTCTTTCAGAAAAGCTATAATTTCTGCTTCATGGGGTTGCTTTTAGTCTGGCTTTTGAAGAAAAATGTTTAGGCCCTCCTCAGCTTTTTTGATTAGCCTGTCATATGTATGAATGTCTAGCTGAATATTAAGGTTCTACATCTAGCAACATTTTAGCGGAGCACAGTGAGGTTATATTACCTATTAAGAATAGACCATAGGTTTTTTTGCACAATGACCTATATGACATCTAAATTAACATATACGCCACAGAACCGAGGACTCTTTCCATTCCTTTCGTTATGGTAAAGCGTGCGTTATAGATGAAGGTCATCAGATTTCGTACTGCATAAATGTTGTTGAGGTGGTTCTGCATGGAATCTACGGATGACTGTGAATGTTCCTAGAGGTTAAACTTAGGCACTCGAAATAAATTTTTTATGAAACAAGCGAGCGGTTCTAAGAAGAACGATTAGCACGGGATAAAATCTAACAAGAATCTTCATGTGAACTGCACGGCATCTCTAACCACAGTGCTTCCCGAACATTTGAATTGCAATTATAAATTGTGGAAGTCCTTTTTCACTTGAAGCATGCTTTGCCGTGTACTCTGCTTCAAAAAAGGGTGATTTCCGAACGAGGGATCGGAACCAATTTGGCAAAGAGCGGATGATCCTCACACTAAATTAATGAATTAACCAACAGAGTTACTTTATCACTCCATCAGGTTTATAAAATACCATTAATAAAGCAAACGCGAATGGCATTATTCGGCCGCCTACTTATTCATTTCACGCTTGCCTGGTGAGCACGGAAATTGAACAATGTCGGTATTATGGGAATGTGAACTCAGTTGGAATGTGCTTGCTTGCTACCACCACCTTAACTCATGGCAAAATCCACTTTTATTATTGATGTATTTTCGTCATGAAATTATGGTTTAGACTTTTCGACGTTCCTATTTCTGGTTAACACATTTGTCTCTTGATAATTTTTCTCTTTATCTTCGGGATTCCATTACGCTATGCGAGAGCGTATGAAAATAAGTTTGTCCTGCTGTTTTATAAAGGTGTAATCCATCAATTTTATTCTACATTTGTATCAATGATTTACATTCACTCAAATAATTGAATACTTAAATGAACTTTCTTCACGAAGATCCTTGTGCGTCTTCACTACTGTTTACACTTGGTTGATGATGTGATGCTTAGTAAGATTTTCCTTCAGTGGATTCTCAGAAGCCGTGCTAGGAGTTTCCTGGTACTTAT